TGCATTTGCCAGAAATCGGAGACCGGTTATTGTGCTTGGGGTTTCGTATGTAGTATTATTTAGGGTGCTGGTAGGGAGGTGAGCTGGTTGTGAGGCTGTTCAAGAAACAGGAAATTGAGGGAGAGCCAGTTGAATACTCTTAACATCAGTTTCTACTATTACGTACTAAGCAGGATTTCCAGCAGGTTGATACTTTTCGATCAAACTAACGCTTAGGGCTTTCTCGTCAGGCTGATACTGCAAAGAGAAGGGAAAAGAAAGCGCAAGGAGAAAATGGACAATGGAATACCACGTAAATAGAAGCGGAACATGGCATCTAGCCTGCTGTGCTCGGGGCTGAGGTTCTGCATGTAGGCGAGAAGAGGGAAGTGGGTGGTGAAATTAGGTAAATTGGGGACAAAATCGGTTACACCAGACAAAACAAACAGAAGATAACCACCGGGGATGCTAAAATCTCTCTGTATTAACCTCAGCTTCCAACTCACTCTTGCCACTGAAAAGTAGCTCACTCCGAATACACCAGTTGCTGAACTCCGCTTGACGAATAGCCAAAACGGGGCATCGCGGATGGAGTACATACGCGCCATTCCTTCGCTAGATCATAATGATTGCAAAGCAGGAACGTTTTACATGATAACCGGAAATAACCCGGTGAATGATCCGAATTTCCTCCTAAAGAACAGCAGGGCCACCAACAAAAATATGAGGGCGAACCTACTCAATTAAACATGTCCCCAAAATAGGCAGTCTTCCACGTTAGATGACTAATGGTCAACGGCTTGGACCACAATCTGGAGGACATTTGAAATGCCATGCCAGACATACTGCCACACTCCTCGAAAGGGCCTCACAAGTTTCTCGCGAAACGGATCAACTAATATAGGCAAAAATGAACCTGGTTTTAGTGGCTATCATCCCACAAACAACCAAATTTTCATGTCTTCACGAGAATAAGCTATTATGTAACAGCATGGTCGGGAGCTGTGGGTATCAACGCCAAAATAACCCGTCAAAAGGGCTGCAGAACGACCTCGAGAAACCAATACCCCCTCGTGTCACAGAGATGACCAAAAGGAAGGAAACTAACCTCATGGCAGTTGCCAGGGAGGAGCCTTGGAAAAGTCATTCTATAGTTGACCCATCAAGCTCGTGATTTGGCACGTAACTTGCAGCCAATGTTCAGCGTTCACAAACCCTCCCAGCCAAAAGCGTTCCGCCTGTCGACCGAGGTGGCAAAAAATCATACAGTGTCAAAGTCTAGCTGAGTAGTATCCTTGAAATACTGTGAAAAACTCAAAATAGACAAATATCCAGCTTGTGATTATTTAACTATTAATTTAAAAGTGCTGCAGGGAGATAAGTCTAACCACTTGTGAACCGTCCACAAGTTCGATGCAAGGGAACCAACCACAAAAGAGTAGGAGCCATATATTTTGTTGTCAGTGTTTGAATGGGATAGCTGAAAAGATGTAGGTAACTAAAAACTTGGAGTTTAATTTCCCACACTCCCACCTCACTGAAAGCCTGATATTCGTTGTTGCTCGAGAATTCGTGATTAGGAATGATAAATTCACTACGTCCAACAGCCCTATAAAACAAGGGTCTTGCGCCATCAGCTTTCTCACCACGCGGAAAAAACGAAATGAAAACTGTCTCGGCAGCCTTTTCCCCTTTCGAGTAGTAGGCAGTGAGCCACATTTATTGTGAGAGAGCCACTGGCACTATCTTGACGCCTGAAGCTCTTTGGGTGCTGACGGGCCCGAACCCGTGACCCACTGGTTGGAAGTCATCCTTCGAACCACTGAGCTATAACTTCAACTTCTGACCACACAGAAGGATATATCAGCCGGCTGGTACAGCAAGTGGGAGTTCACATAGTCTTTCGTGACCTAGCGAAGGTCTCAACACTGTCCGACACAGCACTTCACTCAGAGAGTTCACGGAGTCGTCAGTCGTTGAAATGATAACTTCTTGGCCCGGTAAGCACTCGAAATGCCGGCAATTTTCCACCGAGGTCAACAGAGTGCCATTACGCAGAAAGTTTGGACAACTGGAGTGTCTTAGGCAGCTACTGTTGGTCCAATTCTATTTCTTCCCTTCATAAACGACTTGCCCAGGAGACCCCCTTCCCCTCATTCTGCTACTCTAAGACGACTTGAGAATGCAATGAGAGTTAGATGACAGCGACGACCCGAAACAGCTCCAAGACTACCTGTTCCAAGCGTAAACTAGGACACGAAGCAGTCCAAAATATAACATGGGGAAGTGCAAACCGATATATAAACTCGCACTACCGCAGCCAATATAGTATGTTGTGCTCCAAGGAGTTACCTTCTTCAACGGCCAACCGGAGGGAAAGATTTGGGCCCCAATTCCCCCGAAATGTTAGATACCAGCGCGAACTATGAAGGAGTGATTAAGAAGAAAAAGTGTGTTTCACATCCGCTCCAAAGGCGCCTCGACTGTCAGTGATAATGGCACGTCAAAGTAACAGCTGTCGGTCTGGACAGATGTTGCTTCTAACCAAATGTCGTAAATGCAATAAAATATAATCTATCATTCTTTAAAACTTTCAAATGTCTATGCTACCCTGAGTTTTAGCTGCCTAAATTCATCTGTTGGTAACCCTGCCTACGTGACGTCACAAACCATCTCTATAAGCGTTTCCTCAGTCTTCAAATAGTAGTAATAATTACAACCGTTTAGTTTTCAGTCGACCTGTCTTCTGAAAATATTCACCGGGGAGTTAACAGGCAGTTACCACCCCGTCTCACGTCACTCTAAATAAGATAAGTACACTTTCCAAGCTCCCGTCGGGCTTCCCAGTGTTGCACCCACGGGCTTATGGCTAACGCACGGGACATTTTGCTGTAGATAACCACAACGTAGCAAATAAGAAGGCAGTAGTAGAGGTAAAACGTGTTTATTCCAAGCACTTTGGCAGGCCAGTCAAGTGGGACAAATTCAACAAGTGCATTAAAAGTTATTCGTGATCCTATTGCAGTCAGTAGTGAACGCAAAATTCAGAACAGGTAGGAATCATGACTAAGTTTACTAGGCACTACACTCCTATGTAATCTCGTTGAAACAATAACATTTATCAACTGTTTCATAGGACAGAATGACCCCATATAGGTCTAGGACCGTAGATAGGGGTGAAACAAGTTGTATAGCATGTCAAGACATCGAAATTGGAGGACGGATAGAGCACAGCGTAGTGCCTCAGATCCGGGCACCAGCTCCAATTACAAAGGTCTTCAATACGGTGGCTCCCCCTGTCACTGAGGAGGGAATCTGATCTCCTTGGGAAAATACAAAGAACCGCAACAAAATCACTTGTGGGCAAAGGGGAAAGACATCCTGAAAAACTTAAACACCTAAACCTGTTTACCTTGGGTTATCGTAGAAAGAGAGGTGACCTTATCATGGCCTGCAAGATTGCCCACCAAGCAAAACAAATCAGCCTTTTCCTCAACACAGTGGTCTTTACGAGGAAACCCCATTAAATAGCACATGAGAGAGCCAACACCATACTCAGGTCCAATTTTTTTCCCCGAGAGTACGCACTTTATGTAATGCCCTACCGCGACATACCATTATAGCCCCTGTAGTGGCCAGAATCCAATAATCTTGGCCTGAACGCGGGAAATGACTAGGCGGTGCCAACTGACGTGAATCTGACTAGTTCCTGCGTTCTACTGTATAGCTTCCTAACTTCCGCGAGTGACGCACAGTCAAAGGTTGGATCAAAATATCAAAACACGGTTTGTAGTAATTCAATGGTAGATTGGTAATAAAATCTGTGGTACTATCAAAGTAACAATAAGTTATGTCAAAATTACAAAAATACCTCAACAGTGCCGTTGGGTAACTATACAGTACAAAAAGTTCTCGGGTACAAATATGTACTACACGGTGAAAACTGGTTAAAAAATACAACTGTTAGGTACCTGTCGGTCAATAGGAATACTCCCGGCAAAAAGGATCAAAACTCTGCCTACAGGAATCAAATCAACAAACAAACGTTCCCAGTAGACAGTCAAAAGACAAACAGTCAAATCACAGCACAACCATAAGTTGAACCAAATCAAAATGTCGGACGCAGTAAAACATCACCTTGTCAACCGTCCAGAGTCACATAATAGGAAAGTGAAACATTCATAATAAGTCTCATACGTACAAAGGCGAATACCGAGTGTAAAGTCAAATAAGACGGTCAAACAAGCAAATAACATTACACCGGCGAGGGTCAAAGGCACACCATCCATAAGAAGGGAAAAAATATTCAAATAAATGTCAATGCAATCAAATAAGGGTGATCGGGAGGGATTTTCAGATCAATTTTTCGTTACAGCCCCCTCAGTTGACTCACTGAAGAAACGGCTAGACACTTATGTTACCTAACATGGTCTACCACTGACGTGCTCAGGGAGTCACTAACCCCACCAGCTCCAAGCCACCACTCACTATCTCGCTCCTTAATTCACCCACATTACCTACTGATTTTTTTCCAGGAAAAGACCTACGCCATCCATTTTACCTCTTGGGCAACTCCCACATACTTTTATTTCTCTTCTTCATCCTTCTTTTTCCTTTTCTCTTCCTTTTGTTTCCTTTCTTTTCCTTCATTCTCTTCACTCTTCACCACTACCTTACTATTCTCTTTCGGGTACCCACAGAGGTAGGAGTCACGGCAGTCCCCCACCACCCCAGCAACCCGTAGCTCCCCAATCACCCTACAAATTACAGCTTACTAACCAACAAAACACCCACCTCACCGAAGCTAAAAGCAAGGAAGCAGAAGGGATTTTATCATTCACTGCAGGAGTGAACCGGACGAATTGAACCAAGCCCTAAGAACTAGACGCGAGAGACCCGAAACTACCAACTCTCTACGCTCCCGCCATCAATATTAGGTATTCGAGAGTGGTTTGTTTTACTGCATCGCTGGTACAAACTATTTTGGCCACAAGAAGTTCTCTATTTTGACTGTTATCCACATGAAGAAGGCAGAATATCGCAGGAGATATTTCAGGGAATACTTCCATGACTTGGCACTTGTACTAATTCCGGAGCACGGGATCTTGAGATTAATTCCCAAACGTTGGTCAAACGAGGAAGCAGAAAAAGATGGTTCGTTGACCTCTAGGAAACAGAAACGTGAATCATTGGAGATCTTGACTGAGGGCACTATTTCGGTGAATGAAGTTCTCAGGTATGAGGTGAAGGTATGTTGCTTCATGCATCTTGAGACATTTGTTTCTAAAGGACAGCGAGTTTATAGGGAATGATCTGGACGCCCGCTCATATTTGGTTAGACCAGGTTTGTCGGCGAGGAGGTTTCTCATTCAGTGGGCAAGCCAACTGGGAGATGAGGAGCTACTTCGCATTTTCAGCAAGAGTAAGTATTTTCCTAACTTATTTGTGATAGTGATAATGACACAGCATACTTTGACATAGATGGCTGTGCAAAATTTTAGGAACATCTCACGACAAGCTGTAAGTCGTGAGCATAGAGTACGTACTAGGTTTGCTGACAGAAACTTGGAAAAACTACACAACGCAGGGTAAATTGAGTGTCTTCAGGTCCTCGCATCCCTGGAGCTGGTAGACTCAGTCTGAAAACTAACAACCGTAAGACTAGGCCTTCCGATGAAAGAGACAGGAGCAAAGCACTCGCAGTGTCAACCACAGAACCATGCAGGCCGCAGGTCATACCCAGTTCGGTGACTCAATCAATGACGGAAACTACACAGAATAGGATGCAAGTCCATTCAGAGGCTGTGTCATGGCTACTGGACTAGGCTTTAATAAGCCTTGCATATCCGGCTGAGAAATTGCAAGTAATCAAGTCTAAACGGCATGCCAAGAAGCTAGTAACGGTCATCGAACCAACTGTCACCACTACAAAGAGCAAAGATAAAGTAGAGCTTCTTGATAGGCCTGTAATCTCCCACCTCTTACTATAATGTCTTCTTAAACTTCTCCGTCTAATAGTCAAATGACTCATCTCCATCGTTACTATCAATGTCATCGTCCGACTATTACTCTAGTCTCCATTAGTTTTATACTGTTGCCAAGCTTCTTAACTTGTGTTTCGAAATAACATAATTGTGCCATATTTTCAATATTCATATTCTCATTGTAATCATTGCCAAACCCATCTATATCGAAGATATGTCGACCATATCCTGATTATTTGTGAAAACTGGAATCAGTCTACTTCAATTCTAGACCGATTGAACGACGTACAGAACAACATATCCTTGACATGTGTAGAAAAGAGGAAGATGACTGCTTGCCGTTCTTGGATATATTAATTAGTCGAAGGTAGGATGGATCCATAAGTCGATCTGCCTACAGCAAACCTACATGGACAGGGTAATATTTGAATTACTATAGCGTTTGCTCAGTTCAGTAAAAGCGAACGTTAGTGAGGTGATGATTCAGTAGAATTCAAGAAATATGCACAGAGGATACTTTAGAAGATGAAAGAGGAACACTGACTGATATTCTGTTGGAAAATGACTATCCATGAACATTTGTCAGTCAGAACAAAATCATCAGAGTGCCGGAACCAGATCTGCAGTTTGTTCCAAACAAGGATGTCCTTATCAGTCTTGCGTACAAAGGTGACTCTCATGGTACAATCCTTAAGCAGAGACTTAACGCTGCTGTTAGATGGATTTACTATGCACCCAAGTTTCGATTAACAGAAACTACGAAGCCTGTATATTTCCCTAAACCTCCACAGCATGTTTACGACAATATGACATCCCATTGTATCTACCAATTGAAATGTACATATGGCTACACATACATAGGGAGGACTCATAGATCCATGCAAGTGAGGGCCTCGGAACATATTCTAAAGTGGCTTCAGAAGCAAATTAAATCACCTGAACCCATAAATGTTGGTAGCAAACGTTGAAGTCCTCCGATCGCCAAAAATATATCGTTGAGACAGGTCACCGTATTGATGTGGCTACTTCCTCTACACCTACCTATTTACAAAACATGTTGTAGAGTGATCCTTACATTTGTTGAGGCCTTAGTCATTAGAAAGTTGAAACCACTTTGTGTGTTCATAAACAGTTTGTTGTCACATTAAATCTTCCCTGGTAAATTCAAGTATTGAAAACCAGGTTCGATGTATTATTATTTTTCGCTCTATTGATTTTGATTGTTATTCGACCTTTAATTCAGCCTTCCTACCTGACCTCTTTTTATTTTCTCACCCCTGATCTTCATGAATTTCTACATATATATAAATGATGGATGGTGGCTGGCAGTGGAATCCAGAATGCACATTTCGTCCTATTTCGGACTCATCAGCTGAATGTAGCTGCTTCCCAGTGGGTGATGTTGTTCTCACCGGGATTTGAACTTTGGGGCGATCGCTTTAAACGCCAGGGCGTAATCCACTTCACCACCGAGCCACTGTAGCCACTTCTTGTGCGATGGGTAAAGTTTTAGGATAATTGTTTTTATATGAATATCTGTGACAAGTACGTGTGTGATCAGATAGTTCAAAATGTGATGCGCAAATACATTACACGGTTGAGACAATTCATGTCTTCTTATTGTTTCGTCGAAGTTTATAAAGAGAACTAATTGTTTTAGAAAGGAATGCGTTCAACATACTTGGACACCATGGTGGCTTCAGGGTAACTACTATCTCTTTGTGTACACATAGGTTTGGTTTACTAACTCTAATGGCAGATGCTTCCACGATTGCAGGCATTTTCTTATTCCGGTGTATGTCGACAACCGAGTAGGCCTTAGTAGTGTCAACATCATGTGGATAATTCATGAAGTGTTTTTTAGCGGAACTGTGCGGGATTTTGAAGTCGACTTGCCACAATCGTTTAGGTAAATGTTCCGTACGACATATGTATTTGCTTCCAAGTGTACATTCGAACTGGTATATGCAGTTAGATATGTCGAGGATTGAAGTTGTCTCTTTTCCTGATTGCTGCAGCAGCCGTCTGGTGGTACTCAGAAGTACTAGCTTAGCTGCATAATGAGTTGTTTTATTGGCTTTCTTTAGCCTCCGCTTAACTACTCCTAAAACATCATTTCCTTTAAAAAGCAGTTTAATACTGACCTTTCTGGAGCCATGTGAACTGCTATTTTGCATTGTTTACTTTTCGAATACTTATTGACAAAGCCTTCAGGGAAGCCATTTTTTGCTAAAATATGGTTCAGTTTTTGCATTTCATAATCAATAGTACTCTCAGAGCAAATTTTCTCTGATATATCAAATGGGGTTTTTATTCAGTTCCTTTTATATTGGATTGGAACAAATCTCTCGAGGTGGAGATATTGTTCAGACCATAAAGGTTTTCTGAAGATGGATCTTTCTTCAGTTCCATCATTCCTTTTTACTAAGGAAACGTCTAGGAAGTTGATATGATGATTTTCTTCGTGTTCAGCTGTGAAGTTGAGGTGTACGTGACAAAAGTTAAAGTACTTCAGTAGGGTTTCTGCTTCTACTTTAACTATCATATCCTCTTCGACTTCTCCGCTTACTAGTCAAATGGCTCATCTGCATCGTTATTATCATTTTCATCGTTCAACCATTACTATTAGTTCTACACTGTTACCTTGTTTCAAAATGATGTAATTTCTTAATCTTTACAATATTCATATTCTCATTGTTATCATTGTCATTATTATCACTCACTTCTATTATTACTATTATGATCAATATTTTTGTTTATCTAACACCTATGTTCCCTCAGTGTGCACCTTTATCAAGCTTTCTACTTGACTAATGATTGTTCTGTTCGAAATAATGTAATCCATCCTTAGTCCTTTCATTTTTCATTATCAATTCGTTATCCCTATCCAACCTAATCTTAGCTCTGTATGACATAATTGAATGATTCACTCTGTGTTACCATGCCTCTGTCAATGTCATAGTCTGCTGTATTATGTGTGTATGTATTCCTTCATTGTACAACAGTATATAAAATCATATATATATATATATATATATATATATATATATATATATATATATATATATATATACAGAGAGAGAGAGAGAGAGCAAAAAGCTGACGAGTTCTACTGAAATTTATGCATTCAATAAATCCTCTTTCAATTAGGATTGTTTCGTGTTTTAAATATCTCTAGCTAGCACTGTGTTCTCTCTATCTGTTGGCCTCTAGGTAATATGAGTTTTATGTGTTCTTGTCTTCTTTTCTGTAATTCTGATTTAACTTCATATCTGAGTACCTTACTAATTTTGTAGCTGTACTATAAGCTTGTTAAGTAACTTGTACCAATTCACTGGTTTACTACGTTGTGCTACATTTGATAGCAAACTATAGTGGGATGTTTCATAAGTTTTAAATGTTTTTCTACGATTCCATTTGGTTGAATATTTTGCTCCCTTTACAGACTAAATGCTTGCTGTTAAACAGAGATATGGGTTCTACCCATAGAAAGGTTTTGCATTGTGGAGAGGATCGATTTATTATAAATATATTTGTGATAAAATATTTCTAATTAAGAAGTGGGGATATTTTGGTATCATTTTGCAATGAATTTAATTATCCTTCTTTGTGCAAACTTTTAGGCATGTTCACCATTTCCTTTCCGGCTAGTAAATGGGAAGTCGCACTTCTGAACAGGTCTTCTCCAACTCATGGAGCTATGGCTCACTGGTTCAGGGAGATAACTATTAACCAGTAGGTCACGGTTCGAAACCCGTTCAACCTACCGAGGTTTGGGTAGCCAGGTGATATCACTAGCTCATTGCCTGCTGCTTGGAGGTGCACAGGGTACCTGAGTGTGTTTCGTTCCTTTCCTATTCTCTGACTCCTCATTTGAGAATGGAGAATGAAGTCGTTAAGTCTGTGACGTAATCTGCAAAATATATTTCCGTCGGAGGGTGGAATATACTACACAGATGTTTGCTAGCTCTTACTGTATAGCAATAAGAAGAAACAACCTATAAAAGTAAACAGAAAAAGGAAACTATAGGTTGTGAGACAGCATCGATGTACCAAAATAGATGAAAAAATGATTGGGTTGGAAAAAAACCTTGAAATTGCCAGTCTATGATGTGGCATCACTCTACGAAGTGTTGGACGATCTATCTGTGCAATGGATGAAGATTTAGGCTATTCGGTCTTGGCCCTCAAAGTGTTAGAAATCAACTATTAGAGACTGTCGATAACATGAAACAATGGTACAGATGTATTCGGTCTATACTTTGGACATCCCTACTGACTTTCATTCATTTATTCCCCTTTTTCTCATAAACAAAAATTCCACATTATACGTATAGCGCTAATTAAAGACTGTAAATGAAAATCTACTTAGACAACTTTCGGTCATTTATTCTTGTTGGATAAAATTCGGAATCATCTCCATTTATTTGATTCACAC